CTGCATCTCTAGACCCAGTTTTTTACTCCGATTCTGCACAGGACAACCACATTAGGACAAATAATTGCCCGCCGCAGCCACTACTGGTGCTAAGGTGCGTTTTTTGCATAGTTCTCTGCAGGTTTTTGTCGCTAACGGCACTGTTTTTATCGGCAGACGTTTCCAGCTAAAATAATTCCCGCAAAAAGCTTTCGTGGGCCCGCATGTGGGAACTATGCATACCTGGGGGCTGAGTTTGAAATCATTAAGACCTACGTGGACGGGGAACATTCGCGCAAAATTTCAACATCCTAGCTATTCAGTTTACGCGCAAAAACTTTCACGGGGCCGTGCATGGGAACCAACTGTTAAAATTTTTACCGTTGTAACAATCGCTAAAATTTCTATAATAAAAAATTACTTTTCGTTCGCAAAGAAAGTTTCGTCGTCTTGAACAATTTTTTCAAGTTCGTCAAGTTTGTCATCCTTTCGTTTCGCCAAATATTGTTTTCGGCTTTCTTCGCGCAGCTCTGGAACGATTTTTCGCCGATCAATTGTTTCCATTTTTAACCTAAAAATTTCTCCTTTCACGAAACATTTGGTTGTTTCCGATCACATTATCCACATTATCCAGTCTTCTCTATCTAATTGTACAGCAGAAGAAATCCTGACAGTAAAAATGCAATCATTTCAAACCAATTTCACAGCGCGAGCGCCTTTTGCGTGCTAAGCGCAATTAAAAAAATTTTTTTTTAAATCAGAAAGTTACGAATTCTTTGTGTATTTCCACACAGTCATTATATGCCGAAGCTTATCACCTTTTAAATAAATGACAACGATTAGCGTATTAGCCATGACGTCCAAACACTGGCGCACAAAGGGGAACAAAATTGTGCTTTCGGGAAGCAAATTTTGAGAAAAGAAATGCATTTTCTGACCTTTTAGCTGCCTCTTCTTCGGCCTTTTTGCCCGACTTTGCAACGACATTTCGCGTTTTCTCTTTGTCTCTCTGTCGAATTCTTGCTGCCAGCTCATCACGCTCTCGCAGATCCCTTTCTTCCTCCGCATTTAACCGATCCATTTCGTCGATTGCGCTCTCCTTCACAGCATGCTTGGCCTTGGTTTTTTTGTCCTGAACCGAAAATACTGAACCGAAAAAAAATATTTCTGGAAGACAGCTACACAGTAAGCCACATTACATTGCTGAACAGTCTGCTAAGCCAGAAATAATCCCAAGAAATTTAAAAATAATCAGCGAACTTGCTTTTTTTGGCTTCTTCACTGGCGCCTCGTCCTCATCCTCTGATTCCA